AGGCAGGACTTATTGCACTTCCCAAAAGAGGGCTGCACTCAGAACAGACTCAATGATCTTCCCATAGACACAAAAATGGCCAAATGGGGTTGCCATGGACAAATCCTGAGCTATGTCTCCAACTACAACAGACACTTCATGGACAGAGATGGAAGTCCTTGCTACTGGAGGAGATGATTTCTCCCAATAGAGCTGGCCAGGAGGGAAAATTAGTTCAAAGAAATAAAACATAAGTTGTGGTTTTGTCAAAAATAAATAAATTTTCTAAACTCAGCAAGGTAGGTGCGTATCTATAACCTCAGATACTCTAGAGACTGAGGCAAGGGGATTCCATGTTCAAGGTTAGCCTGGGCAACTTAGTGAGATCCTGTCTCAGAATAAAAAAAAATAAAAAGGGTTAAGGATATGATTCATTGGCAAAGCACCCCAGGGTATAATTCCCAGTACCACAAACACACACAAAAATTATAAACCCTATAAAGGAAAAAAAATAAGATTTTAAGTCATTGGCTTTGGAGTCCCCTCAAACACCCTGAAACTCTTGGAATTAAGGAAAATGTGTCAGATTATGATGCAAACTCTCCAGCTAAGGTGGGAAAGTGTGGCAGACACGCTCCAGTGATCCTTACCTTCCAGTGGTCATTTACTTTTACAGAGTGCAAGGACCGGAATTATTTTTGTAGTCTTAAAAGAATTAACTTCAAAGACAAACCTTGCCCAGTCTGGCTCTTGCTCCTCTAGAGCAATCTAAGCCTCAATTTCCTCATCTGTAAATAAATAATATCCACCCAGCAGGATTGTTGTAAGGATTAATTGAGAAGGTGAATACATGTCAAACATTTAGCAGAAGGCCTACCAAACAGCTGAATAAACTAAGTCTGTTATTATGATCTGTGCTCACAGCAGAAGAAAATTAGCTATTTATTTTTCCTAAAATCTTCCATTGAGGAGAAAGTACCATCTCTGTTTGGCAGATGAAGAAGCCGGACTTCGGCAAGGTTACACTGCACATCCAAATTCCCAAAACCCCATCAAGGTCCTCCTCCCCTTCCCTTGCTATAGAAACTGGCTACCATAGTCTTCAAGAAGAAGAAGAGCTACCAAGTTCTGCCCAGCTGAGGACATCCTCAAAACACTGTCACTACTAGAACTTTTTATGCTCTTTTTTGGTACCGGCACTTGCTTATAGATATGCATCTTCATTATCTCTGCTGTATTCACTGACTGACCTAGAAGGGAATTAGAATAAGCATAAGTTATTCTGGAACTTACCTAAGTAAGTTTAAGATGCAAAGAACAAGATGCACGTGTACAGTTCATCTGCAAAGCCCTGAAGTATTTTCTGAGCTCTTTTTAGCTTCTATTTCCTACCAAATGCTTCTTTCATGCCCTATGTAAATCCATTCATCATAAACCCTCTCCCAAAGAGCATCTCAATTGCTATCCTAATTTCCTACCAAAAGGAGGAGACTGGCACCCTAGTTAGAAAAGTCCATGCGTCCCTGAGCTAGTGAGGTGGCATTTTCATGGGTCTGTCCCTACAGCCTACCACTTAAAATGTCCATGCTCCCTGAACATCTGCAATGCCTCTCCAGTTTGGAGGGTTAATCCTGAGATGGAAATTTGGAATAAATACTTAGAGGATGCCAGATGCATACCCCTTCACTCCAAAGCTGCAGACCACATATAACTAGAGTTAACTTAGCAGAGAACTAGTTTGTGATATGTAAGTCATACTAACATTTTCCCACAGAGCTTTCTTTTTACAAAAAACAATGAAAAAGAAAATCATGTGGGATTCAATATAAGTTGTCTTTGCTGGAGGCTGTCAAACAATCATATGAACAAAATTAATTGGTTCACTTAAACACACACACACACACACACACACACACACACACAGTAACACCCAGTTTCTCCCAGCCTCCAAACTTGGAAGCTGAATCATTAAAAACAAAACAAAATAAGATAAAACTGCTGTTATCCTAAAACTCTATGCCTTTCCTTAAGAGAAGGGTTGATGATCATTTTTTACAAGAGCCAGATGGTAAATAGTTCAAGCTTTGCAGGCCATAGGGTCTTGGTGACAACTATTCAACTCTGCTACTCCATTCAAAAGCAGTTGTAGACAAAATGTAAACAAAATGGACTTGGCTCTGCTCCAATAAAACTTTATTTGCAGACACTGAAATTTGAATTTCATATAAGTATAACATATTTGAAAATATTATTCTTCTTTGGATTTTCTTCTGGTCTTTTAAAAATGTAAAAATTATTCTTTCCATGTAGGCTGTACATAAACAGGAAGGGGGCTGGATTTAGCACCATGCGTTGCAGTCAGCCACCCCCTGTCTACGCCAGCACATTATGTGCTGATGACTCCCAAGCAAGAATCCCAACCAGCTCAAGGACCAGCTCAACAGGGCCTCCTTCCTAGGAGCTATCATGGGAGTTGATTCCCAGGGGCCACTCCCCGTGTGCTTCTTCAAAAGCAGGCTCACTTCATTGAAAAGATCCAGAAGCCTTGATTTCAGGGTCAGATGATGAACTGTTACTTACAAAATTCCCTCTTTGTGTTTTCTCTATCCATATTAACTGATCACATACTTCCCATTTGTACAAATTGTTCAAGCTCATGCTACTGAACTTTTCCATAGAGATGGTAGACCAAGTTTCACCTTCAGCGTTGATTACTTTCCGGTTGCAAAACAACAGAAATTTAAAGGGTGATAAAGTGAACATTCTAATCCAATAGAGATCAGAGAAGGTTCTGATGATCTATCAAGTAATTATGACTCCATGCTGATAACTTTATTCATTCATTTCTGGAAAGCAACAGCCTGAGGTATAAATAAATGGAGGGAGGATGGAAATACACAATATGAAACAAGCTTCTAGCCATAAAAAAATTGTATGATATTTCCATCACAACATCATCACAAAATAACATTGTATATTGAAATATAGCTCTTCTCCTTCTTTTTTTTCCACTCCCTCCAATTGCTTAGGAATATAAATGTTTACTTGGCAAATCACATAGTCAAATAAACAATTTTATCTCTCTTTTCCAATAAAGTTCCTAAACGGCACCTAGATTTTTGGTGCGTTTCTAGCAGCCTGAGGATATCAGATATGAGAACTTCAGTCCAATGCACATTTCAGCTTTGAAGTTATCTTTATGTCACAAATTCCAAAACATTAATCTGAGGCATTCCAATGGGCAGAAGATTTGGGAACAATCTGTGGCTTTAAAGAAAGTTATACCCAATCAGGACAACTTATTATCTTTATGGTGCCATAATTTGGGTTTACATAACCAAAACATGGGCTCTGCTCAAAATCTAGCACTGATGAGGATTGGATGGAAAATGTTCCCCAAAAGTAACAGATTCCAAGATTTCCCCCTCACACGAGAATCCAGCAACACACAAAGAACTGGTCATCTCAGTGGCCAGAATCAAAAATACTCTTTTTCAAAGCTAAAGCATCCAATCTCTCCAGCAATGCCTCACTTCCAAAATAGACCCTATGGCATCTTCTTGTAAGCATCTCAAAAGTTTCTGCATGTGTCAAGGTAACCTTTGGTTTTTTAAAAGAGAACCCAGAAGTCACTACAAAGTTGTAATGTGGGGAGTGGAAGGCACAATCTCTTTGCCCTGGAAAAACAAGTCTATCTCTAAAGATTGTGTTTCAAAATGTTATAATAGGGAAGCCAACTATCCTGGTTTTCCAGGATATGAGAGGGAGGGTCCCTGAATGCAGTATTTTCAGTTTTAAAACCAGAACAGGTTTATTGGGCATACCGTGAGGAGTTAGTTATCCTAGAAAGTTTCTTCTGGGCTCTGTATTTGGATTTTAAATGCAACAAATCTGTCCAAACACCTGACATGAAGAAAGACGCAGTCTTGCACTAAAGAATTAATAGGATTCCTAGTGGTTTTATTGAAAATAACTATCCCAGAGCTTAAAAGACTTCGGATGGCTATAAGTTGAGTGGTCCTGTCATTGGCACCATCTAGTCCACCCTGACGAAAGGCCACATAAATGACCAAAAGACAAGGAGAGTGACTAAGCCAATGGCTAGCACTTCCTACCTAGAACCCCCAAACTCTGCCAGCCAAAGGGCATCTTTCAGAGCCATCCTCAGAACCAAGTTATTGAAAAAAAGAACTTTCCATACTAAGGCAGAGTCCTCTGCTATCATAGCTGAGTGCCACACCCCTCCCAAGAATGGAAGTCATTGTCACCTCCAAGATGAATTAATGAAACTTGGACCCATCCATTCCCAACCAACACCACAAACCAGCTCCAGTGGCTTTGCATATCTGTACTTGCCTTTTAGGAGGAAAATGACAACCAAACAAGTTCATTCATTACCCAACTTTTAAAGTCAATGATGTGCTACACAAAGACTTGAGCCAATCACTGCCCTCTGCCTTCTAAAGTGCCAGGTCTACACTCATCAGTGGCTTCCAGGATGAAGATATCAGCCCTGCTGGAGCCTCAGCTACCAAGAAGTCTGGATTCTTCAGTCAGGGGAACCATTCATCTTAGAAAGACCAACATCACTAATGAAAATTAAATGAAATTAAACGGAAGTTGTAACATTTCTTGATTGCTCTGATTGACCAGTTTTTCATCATCCCACTCTTAACTATGTGACCAGATGCAAATGTAAAGCAAAACAAACAAACAAACAAACTTTTGGTCAGGGTTTGGCTGATCCAGCCAATTGGCTACCAGGCAATAAATAGGATGCTCCAAAATTACAATTCTAGTCTCTTTGTTTTTCCAGGTGAGTTGAAGATATAATAATAAACCAGATATTATACCAAGACCATACCAGAGACATTCATTCCGGAGGCCCTAAATATTCTATAAGGAGACTGATGATTCAGAAATAATAATCAGTAACACACAAAGAGACTTTTAAGAAATTGGGGCTAAAACAGCAAAAACAGAGAAAACAAACTAAAAACCTACAAGACCAGACTTCCTACCTTCTTTTTGGAGTGGCTTCTTTCTTCCTCCTTAGTAGCTTTGCTATTTTTCCCAGCACGGGACACCTTCTGGTCCCCAGACTGCTTGATGGTGATCTTGATCTCAGGTGGGCATATATAGTTCTCCAGATTCTTTGGGGGTTTCTTAGCCCGCTTGGTGGTCTGAATCTTCAGCTTCAGACTCCCCTCAGTGAAGTTTGCCTCCTTGATGGAAAACTCCTGCTCTTCCAAGCCATCTCCTGCCACCCATTTCTCACTGTCTGCATTGGAGTTGGAATCCACATCCCGCCCTGAGCCCAGTTCATCCTCTTCCTCTGGTTCCATGCGATCTCCGCTCCCCGGGATGCCCTTCCCAGGTCCTGGAGCAGAAAGCAAGGGTTCTCCTGTGCAGCCAGGAGCAGCCGGGGGCTTGGCAGAGGAGACCGGCAGGAATTCCGACTCGCCCCCCCTCTGCCGGGTGCTGCTTAAGATTTCCCGGGACTCCATGACAATCCTACAGTCTTCAGGAGTTCTCAGGTGGTGGAAAGGGAAGAGGGAAGAGGAAAAGGTGAGAAGAGGGGACACTCAAAATTCCAAGAACAAACGAGTCCAGCTGCTAGGTTCAGAGTCCCAGGGACGGAGACACGGTGAGGTGTTCTGAAGAGATCAGATCTGCAACTGAGACACAGAGAGACAATTAGCCATGGCAGGAAGGAGAATGACCCCAAAAGTTACTCAATCCAAGTTCCAGAAATATCTTCCCACTTATCTATGGCATCAGAAAAAGATGATGGGAGAGAAATCCAAGCAGAATATGAACAGGCCCAAATCGGATTCCTCTGGAGCAGAGGGAGAAACACACTTACACATGTCTTCATAATGGGTTGTTATTAATTTCTGTGGCTAGAGGCCCAAGAAATAAAGATAAGAGGGTGAGTCCTCCAACTAGTAATAACCTAGAGGTTTCTTATACCAAAGCCACAGCTGGCTGAGTCACCAGCAAAACCAACCATGACGGAAGGGAAGTCAGAAGTGCTGTTGCTCGGGTCTGTGGGAACCGCAGCTGGGTGGCTGCTTATACCACTTCCCTGTGCAGAACAGGGTGCACAGCTAAATACAACCCCCGCTTCCAGGGCCAGGCTTCCACCCGCTGCAGGGAGGACGTGCAGTTGACCTCTGAATTGCTCTTTCTTTCTCATTTTGCATTATGCATTATTTCAATCATGTAAAGACTTTTCTCCTTTCCTTAAAACAAACGCAAAACTTAGGTGTGAGGCTTGCACAAGGAAAACAAAAAGATTTCAATGGGAAATTACTTATAACACTGTGATTAATGCAAAACTCCAAAAAAACGTTCCCACTGACTCAAAGGAAGGATACTTAGATTTGCAATTTAGACAAAAATAGACTTCCTAGACCATTTTGATTTCCTTTCTTGTTCCTTACATGCAGTTGCATTAGATCCACAAAGCAGCAAGAGAAAGAGAGAGAAGGAGCATTTCACAGGCCCTTGGAAGTGTCAGGACTCCCCCTAGGATCTTGGACTCTGCCTTCCTCCAAGAGGAAAAGAGAAAAACGCAATCAGGCTCTCTCCAAGCCATCACAGAATCAGCCAAACTATCCTTCCTTCTTACTCACCCCATGCCCTGCTATTGCCAGTTTCAGCCTTATAATTGCAAAGTCCAAAGGGAAATCCAAAAGCCTGCTCTTATAAAAGACAAACTAGAGCTCTGGGCTGCACAAGACCCTGTCCTTACACCCTCCACACCTGAGCCCTCACTCAGATTCCAGTAACAGACATTTTTATACATCTAAGATTTTTACCTTTGAGCCCAAATATGCCCACCAGAAAGTGCTGGCAACGTCTCAAAGACTCATTTAGAAGAGCCCAGAACTGGAAACCTAAAGCCCAGCACATGTCCTCTCCTGTGGAACCAGCATATTCCAGCTGAGGCACTGAGAGGATGCCAGGCAGGGAGGTCAGGTGGCTGGGGCTTCCACTCAAACCCTCTCCCCAGAGAAGCCCGAAGTGCAGGAGGCTCCTGCAAACTGCTCAGCCCTACAGAAAGGCACAGTTACCATTGCTCCCACCTACGGGGAAACCCAGTGAATAGTTTTTCTGGAAGAGAGGAGGCTGCCCTGGTGAGAATATGCACACCTCCAATTGAGCTGTCAACAGATACTGTACAGCCACCGGTGACTCATGCCACAAATGAGACCAAGTCCCCTGTTGGGGTGGGGGCAGTTAAATCAGATGACACTGGCTGTTTCTTTTACTTACTAGATTCCTCATGTGGTCTAGACTAGTCTGCCTACCTGCCCCAAATCTTTGTAATTTTTAAAAAGTCATATGCAAGTCAATAGTCAGTGAGGCCTGTCTTACTAGTGACAGGTACCACAGTGGCTGATGCAGACATTAAGATCCCTTAGAACACAAGATGCCTGCTTGTCAAGATGGAGTGTCTGGCAGATCTCTCTCATCCTTACTCATCCCATGTCCCTGCTGCTCCCAGATCCATGCAAATTGCAAGCCACATTTTATAATGGTAGTCATGTTCAAGGTTCATTCCTTTTGGCAAGAATCACTAATGTTATATTGAATTCCCTAGTCCTTGCCTATAAAGGTATTCTTGGGTCAGGGCCAAAGGTGACGAATACACTTTATAAGAAGTTCCTTAAATAAATTCATTTGGACCTTCAAACCAGAGTAGGGGGATGTATGTGGCTGATGCTGTGATAAGATAAAGGAAGGCAAAACCTAAATTATAGAAGGATGGGTGAGGGTAAGAAGTGCAGATATTATTAAGGAAGAATGTACTATTTAAAATTATTTACTTTCACATTTCTTATGCTCAACATTATATCAGTAATTAATTAGATGTAGAAGATGAAACTATAAAACTCAAGTAGTAAAAGATCCACAAAAAAAATAAAATTCAACATTTTTTTTCACTTCTCTTCAAATCATGATCTTTAGATACATTGAAAAGACAATGTCTTTCCTTCTAAACAGAGCAGATTGTAATATGTAAACATAATAAAGGACAAAAGCAAAAACCTTGAGTTTTCCACTTGAGCAAGGTGCAGGTTGATATGAAACTGCACAGGAAGTCTTCGAGGAAAGCTCAAGACCTGACTTTAAACTTGGGCTTTTCATAGGTGGAGTGGAAAAAAAGCAGACTGGGCAGACACAAAGGACAGCACAAGTCAGGGCCAGGCATGACTATGTTCAGGAAGGAGAAAGCGAATGGCAGCTAAGGGGTGTGGCTCAAAACAGGGACAGGTGAGAGAAACATATGCTGCAAATAAAAGCTTAGAGCAGATCATGGACATCCTTGGAAGCCACGCTAATGAGTTTGCATTTTATCTTACAGTTAATGGGAAGCCATTTAAGGGATGTCAGGAGGGAAGGGACAATATCAAAGCTATTCTTTAGAAAGACTATCCACATGCCACAATTAAGAGAACATGATAGTTACGACAGAGGAGCCATAGGAAAATGTGGCCCCTTGCTGAAATCTGATTCTGATTGCTTGAGACCAGAAGCAGGGCAGTGGGAGTTTTTCACAGTAAATACTACAAATAAAACAATGATGCAGTTTCAAAGCATCCTAACCATTGTGAAAAAATCCATTCCAGACCTTCTAGACTGGTCTCACTAAAAGAGGCCAGCCTCAGAGCTCATTAGCCACCAACTTGCACTGTGTACTCGACTCAAACCTGTCTCCACAACAACATTACATGCACAGCTGTATAGTTTGCCACTAAATACCAGTCTCATATCGTCTTCTAGTTGTTTTGAACATGCAAATCTTATTTTTGTAACTCCACTGCAATTCATTCTCAAGCTCAGACCAACTGTGACTGTATCGTGCTCACTTTCCCTTCAGCACCCAGTGAGGGGTTGGCACTTTGAGTGTTTCAGAAAGTTCTTTCTGAATGAAAATGAATTTGCCCCCTGACAGCTATTCAAAGTCCTATGGTTCCAACCTCTCCAACCATAGCTCCACCCAGCCAGGCAGTCCCTGCCAAATTCCCTGCCTATCCTGAGGATAAGAATCCAGCCCGAGTCTACATGAGCCCCTCACCTTAGAAAATAAAATAGAAAAGCTTTCAAAAGCAAAGAGCAAAGAAACCTAACCTGTCTGTTTACTTCGGCAGCACACAAAGCTGTTGTTCTCCTTCTGCCTTCTCCCCAGCACATACCTGCCTTTGGAAATTCACAGTTTCATCTTTGGGTGGGCCTGGGAGACAACTGCCAGTCCTCTTGTGATTGGACCCTGCCAACACACCGGTGTGAGCACACGCACGCATGCACACACTCAGAGCTGAGGAAGCCAAAGCAAGGTGAAAATGCTTTGCCCTGTCACATTCCAGCAATCAGGGACTCCTCCTGAGGGGGAGGCGCACAATGGACACCCTGTACTTGGCTCAGGCCTCCAGTCCAACAAAAGTTAACCATTTCATGGGTGCCTGCAGGGCAGAGAGGAGGCCCTGGAACAATAAAACTTGCTTAGGAAATAGGTGCTTAGAAGACTCCAAGAAATCAGAAAGGCAAGGAAGGGGCAGAGTTTTTGGAAAGAACCCAGGGGCAGGAGTGTAGAATCTTGGTTCTATTCTCCTGTCTCTGCTGTTCATGGCAGTGAGATGCTAGACAAGCCACTCTGAGCACCTTATCCTATATTGTCATCAGCAATGACTGGGGAGGGATCCATATCTCTTTCATTCTGAACACTCTGTAATTTTATCCTGCACAGCCACAGACCTATGGGAACACTTCAAATTGCATAGTGTGAACCTACAACACTATTTGTTTCAGTAGCCAGGGGAATCCTGCTTGGATAAATGTGCTTCACACCCAAAGGAGTCCCAAAGAGTATATCCTCCCTCCCCTCCATATCTGCAGGATGGGAGATTTTTTTATTTCTTTTTCCTAGTCTAAAAATATATCTCCACCTGTTGCTTGGGGAATTCTTACTTATCCTGGAGCTTGGTGGAAATACAAATTCTCAAGCCTCACATACTGAATCAGGGCTGCAGCATAGGCCCCACACTCTGGATTTCCCCACGTCCCGCAGATGCTTCTGACAGGCCAAAGGCTGAGAACCAATGCCGTAGACTTTGGTTGACGCACTAATCCTATCCAGTGTCTTCACCACACCATGGTCTTGTTGTATATTTAAAAGGATTCCTCCTTACTGCAGTACTCTGAGTCTCTTAAGAAAAGGCACTTTGTCCAACTGTGTCATCCCAATGCCCAGCACAGTGGCCAACACATAACAGGGGCTAAAGAAATGTAGATTGACTGAATTAATGAATGAAACAACCCACTCAAGCTGGATTTGCCAGCATCATCCACCTCCCCTATCTTCCCCAGGCACCATCCATGGGCACACTACTCTCCAAAGGGATAATAATACAGTAGAAATAGGCAAAGCCCTTGGTTTCAACAAGAGTCACATGAAATGAATTCTGGGCCCCATCCTGCTTCTTAGGAGCAAGGATTCTTTCAGCCTCAGTGTCTCATCAACACAATGGAAAAAAAATAATGCCTTCCTGACTTTGCTTATTAGGTGATAGTTTTTATCTGATGTCTCTGGCAGGTGAACTCTGCTTCTTATTTAAAGATAAGTAATAAGAATAATAAGACATGCACCTCTCAGGAGTGTAATGGCAAA